AAAAAAAATATTCCTTCATGAAGAGCAATAAACCTACGACAGATCAACACGGATAGCATTTTGATGAAATCTGACTGTATTTTCCACACTAAGACGTGGCGGTGAGAATACAGCGTTGTTTTACATTTTGCGACTCCCTATGGAGCCTGGTGCCATCTACGGCAGGGGCTCCCCTAGCTACACTTGTGAGAGACAAGAGTGAAAAAGGTGGTCACATCTTTGTCTGGGCACGACAAGGGCTCTGACTTCCTGGGGTCCCTAGGGGGGCCTCTGCCTCAAGTTAAGTGAGTAAAACACTGAGAAAGTACCGAGTCACATGAGCTCCCCTGACTAAAAAATGGACATGAAGAGCAGTTGTGAAGAACTGGGCTCAGCTGTGGGGTGCTCTCACCCCCAAACCACCAGCTGGAGAAAGTTGTCTGGATGTGTAGTTCTGAGGTAAAAGCCAACAGGGCGAGATGGTAGACCGGGAGCCGAGGGGGTGGTTAGAGACAAGACGCCTGGTCTTTAGCTAGCAGAGAAAGGGGAGCTGGGAGCTGGAAGGGAGCAGAGCAAACCAGGATGGCCTGTTAAACGCTGGGTGGCTGAGGCTGGCGGGGGAGCTTTGGAGAGTGCCCTCAGCTCCAGGCGGGGCTCTGCTGACCCTGACAAGCGTTTCTGGGAAGTCAGATTAAACTGCGGGATGAAGAAGAGCACACAGACCATCTAGAAGTTTTGTTATAAAAGGCAGCAAAGAAAGAGTAGGAAGCCTACCTAGCCAAAGATGTGGAAACTCAAGGAAGGCCTTTTACAAAGGTGCGAGGCCCCAGAGCACTTCTCTGGCACTGGCAGCGCAGGAGAGGCCGGCTGCCTGCAGGCCCAGCCGGGACGGGCAAAGGCTGGGAGCTCAGCCAGAGGTGGGCCCTGGCCAGGGCAGGAGGCAGGCCCTGGCGGCTGGAGGAGGTGAGGGCTGAGGAGCAGCTGCAGGCCAAGGCTGGAGGCTCAGAGGGAGAGAGGCGGGATTAGGGCAGGCCGGGGAAGGAAGGTGCTTGCCTTCCCAAACGGGGTGAATCGCTAAGGGCATTCAGCATTTCTGGACCCCACTAGGAGCTGATCTGAGGTTCACAGCCATGAACTCAGCGTGGCAGCAGCAGCTCGACCGTGTGGCTCCCCAATAACGTGTGCCGGCCCGAGAAAGGCCAGAAAGGGAACAGCGGCTGGCTGCAGCCAGGCTTAGAATTTCCCCAGGTGAGCACAAGGGAGGGAGAAGACATCCCGAGCACACGACCGGCGTGCTGCAGCAGCTTTTAAAATTATATAGACAAAGGCAAAATTAGAAAGACGCAGCAAAACGGTTATTTCTGTACAGTGAGGTGCAGGTTAATCTTGAACTTGAGCCTCCCTGTTCTCTCAAGCCCTCCGCACTGAGCGTGCGTCACTTTTTGTTACCGGAAAAATCCTCTCAGAGGACATTTTTGTGCCAGGGCCTGGCTTTGCACAAACCCCACCTCTGGGTAGGGTAGGAGAGGTGGGGTAATGTGCTGGGCTCTTGGTGGGTCCTGCTGAAACGCAGCACTGGTTTTCAAAAGTGTAATTTCACCTCTGCGTAACTCTCCAGATCACCTACCAGCTGGCTCAGTAGTCCCTTAAGGTTTCTGTGTGTGTGTGTTTTTAAATCTTTGCTAATGTGATGGCAGAACATGGTGACATTTCACTGTCTTTATTTGAATTTACTATATTACCAAAGGTGGATATTTTCCTTTTGGTTTTGGCCATGACACACAATTACTTTCAAAATAATCCACAAATGCTTAAAATTCAAGATATCTTTTGATGGGGAAGGCAGGCATACAGTTAGAAAATCAGAACAAGCATCACAGGCCCTGAGGCTGGAATCCTGCTGCAGCCTCACTGCTTCCGAATTATTCCTGGGCCAGAACCGTGTTCAGGGTGGGCATTGTTAACAGCCAGCCAATTCAGACCCTGCCCTACATTCTTCTAATCCAATCCCAAAAAGGAAACCAGGATTAGAGCCAATTTTAGCAGAAGGGCCAAGTCGCTCCGCTACTTCCTCGATAATCCGCATCGCATTTCAGTTGCCTCTGAAGTGCTCTCTCTGTGGAGGGAAATGATAAAGGCTCCAGAGGTTGGTCCCGCCAGCAGGCTGTGTGTTTAGTCATGAAGTTGCTGTCACCTACACAGGCTGCGCAGAAGAGAGGCCCTCAGTGGCCCTGCGATCACAAGGGCCGTGACCAGGGTGGATCTGCGTCCTCGCAGCAGAGAGTGAGGAAGCAGGTTCCCCTCCTCACGAGGTCCTGGTGACACCCCAGGAGTCAGTGGA